TATCTTAAATTATTAAAATAACCAGAGATAAAGAAAATTTCGAAGATTTTGAAAAATTTTTTAAGTAATAAAAATAAACAAAATTATAGTTCTGATGAAATAAGCCGACTCATGCCTGGAATAAAAGATTGTGTATCTGTTAAAGGCGAGAAAGAATCAGTCCAAAGATTTATATTAAATAAGCTTAAATAAATATTCAAGATGTTTAAGGAAGAATACCCAAATATATCAATTGGATTCTCTAAATTTGCCGAACTTAGACCAAAAAACTGTATTTTAGTTGGAGCTAGTGGCACACACACTGTTTGTGTCTGCGCCATTCATCAGAATGTGAAATTGATGACAAATGTAGAAAAATTTAATAGATGGGGAATTTTTAACAATTCTAGATTATTCTGAGAATTATTCCTTCATTTTACAAGATGAAGTTCAGGGATTTCATTGGAACAACGTGCAGGCCACTATACATCCATTTGTAGCATATTCTAAATCTGGAGAAGAATTAAAAAATATAAATTTTGTTATTTTATCCAAATTTAATTCTAAACCAGAAAAAATAATATATTTTTCAGATGAAGCAGCGTCTCAATACAAGAATCGCAAAATTTTTCTGAACATATGTCTTCATAAATACGATTTTAATATTCCTGCCGAATGGCATTTCTTTGCCACTGCTCACCGCAAAAATGCATGTGACGGTATTGGAGGAACTGTCAAAAGATTAGTTGCCAGAGCTAGTCTTCAAAGGCCAAATAAAAATCAAATCCTAACCCCATTAGAATTATATAATTACGCTAAAGAAAATATTAATGGAATTCAATTTGAATATGTATCCAATCAAGAATATATCGAAGAGGAATTAGCCCTTCGTAAAAGATTTAATGCACTGCTTATACATGGGACCCAAAAAATTCACGGGGTTATTCCCATTGATCAAAATAGACTAAAAACCAAAATATATTCTAATTCCAAAAAATATAATATAAAACAAGTTTCGTATTTAAATGAGAAAATTAATTTTTAAAATATTAATGGATATATAACATGTGTATATGATGATAAGTGGTGGTTAGGATATATAATCGATAAAAATGATATAAATAAAGAAGTAAAAATCCAATTTTTACACCCTTGTGGACCTTCAGCCGCATTTAAATTTCCTCTGAAAGATGATATTTTAGTGTTGCCTAAATCTCATATACTCTAGCTGGTCAATCCTTCTACTCCTACCAGTCAAACATATATATTATCTCCCGAAGAAATCTCACAAGCTAGCCAGGCTTTGTATTCCTTTAGATGAAGTAAGATTTAATTAATTTATAAACTATCTAAATTAGGCTAAATTTGTTAAGATTTTAAAAATTTATGATCTGAATTACAAATAAAAATATATAATGGACATTGTAATCGATTTAGTATGATATATATACATTAAAATATTTTTAATCAATAAAAAAAATGAATTTTAACATATTAAAACTATTATATATAGCGCCATCTATTTTTTTTAAAGTATAAAAATCGCAATATTTTTTAAAATAAATATCCAGCCATGCTAATTGTTGAAGAAATTATTAAAAAAATAGTAAACGGATAATATTTCTTAAAAAAATTAAAAATCGGAGATCATATACATTTCGAAATATTAATTTCAAGTTTTCAACTGACCATAAGATGACCCATATTTTATCAAAAATTAATTTTGATGTTTTCGCCATAATCATCAATTATTAACTTAGCTATTGATATTATATTCAATATTTGATCATATTTAGTTTAAAATTAAAAACTAGTTATTTAACATCAGTAAAAAGCAAAAAAAGACGTTTTTTAGACCTTTAACCCCGAATATCTCCGCTAATATAGTTGCTAATGCGCTAAAATTTTGTTTATAATCTAATGGGAACATATATAACCAGCCTACGATTTTTCATCGAAATCGAAAGGGGTCGGCCGAAATGTGATTGATTTGACATGGAATGACCCATATGAATTAAGCTCTAACTCAAATAAATCAGGAGTTATGAGCTTTCAAAATTCAATACATAAGCCATCTCGGTTCTAATAATTTAAAATTAATTTTTTAATATTGGTCAAAATCTATTAATTATATCATCATGTTCTAGCCCTGTTTTAATAAAATATCAAAATATTTGTAGATGTAATTCCGTAAAACCAAAAATGATTAATTTTGAGCTACCCCAAATTTGGGAGAAAAACTTACCTGATTATTTTATTTATCAATATATTAAAATTTTAAAATAAGAACTAGAACGGATAAAATAAAATAAAATTTAGATACTACTTCCATTTTTCATAATTTTGGGAATAAAAAAACTAAATATAGAGGGCGCTAGTTATTAAATGTAAATGAAAATTTTTATATAAAAATAAGCATTTTTGTTCAAATATATTATAATAATTATTAGAGATTTACTCATACTAGATTTTGAAGGCCAAAATCAGATATTAATATCGGCGGATTATCGATCCTCAATCACTAATTTAATTTTGTTCGTTATACATATTTAATATATTCTAATTTTTCAACCATAAGGTCTGAAATCGATCTGGATTCGTGGACTTCTTCGAATGAAAATTTGCATGATGATTATATATTATTGTGAGGACCTATGCAATAATTCCTCAAGTTCTAACTTAATTAGTTTCCACCAAATTTTTTTTTAATATAAATTTATATTGATATTTAATAAACTCATATACAAATTTTTTAAAATAAATTTAACCTTTACTTTTTCCGGAAATGTAAAAGCACCTAAGATAAGAAAAGGATTCCCAAATATAAGGCCTCTATCATTTATATTTTTTGAGTAATCTTTATTTTTTTATCGATTTTTTCCAAATTAGGAAGGGCGCTATTTATTAAACTCCCGCCATATCTCCAGAACTAATTAAGTAATTAAATTGCATGTCCTCACAACATATAATATCGTCATGAAAAGTTTCATTCGATTTGAAAGAGGTCTACAAAGACGCTTTTTGGATTGAGTTTTTATGGAGACGCATAACCATAGCATAAGTCATTTAAAATTTACTATTATCAAATTAATTAACCTACTATATTATGCTTATTCAGTTATATATTCATACATAAATAAAAAATTGATAAATCATTTATTTATATAGTAAAATCGTTTGTAATATATTTTTTATTCTAAAAGTTTTTCTCCTGTAGAAATTAGTATCCCATCTCTATTCATAGTCAATGTAAAGTAAATTGTTACAATTTTTTTTTAAAATTATTTATTTAGTTTTAAAATCATAAACATTATTATAAATAATATAAATTATGTATTTTATTTATTTCTAATTAGCATATTTTTAATTATTTAAAGTTCTTTTTTAAAAAAAATTTATCACCTGAATTTTATAAATAGGCTCTTAAGCTTAATTGTATTTTTTTGAATATTACAATATTAAATACCAATGCTAATAAAAAAATTTAAATTAAGACATTTTATCAAATGGGAAAATATAATAATAACGGCCGATAACCGATATTGTATCGATAAAAATATCTGTACATCCAAAATTATCATGTAATCTTTTATATCAGAGCCTGTCGAATTATAACGAACATTAATAGTAAATTATTCCTTTTGTTCGATGGCGAATAAAGTATTATTCGAATAATTATTAGCATGTTTTTTGATGGAATTTAATCTGTCTTTTCTATTGATAACCTATAAATCTAATAATGTAATTAGGAGGGATAGGTTCTAAATCTCTAAAAATGGGGAATCTCGCTTATATCTCCTAGAAAATTTTGTAAGTAAATTTGAAATTTATATTAATAGATGCTAGGAAAGTAAACACTTGTATTTAAATTGAGTTTTTAAAAAAATTACTAAAAATAGAGGAAATATTATTGCGTTTTAAAATTTTCTAGGAGATATAGGCGATTCCCAAGTTTTAGCGATTTAGAACAGGGACCAATTAAAATGGGTATACATTAACTGTCTATGAAAGACTGTCAAAATAAATCTCATTTCGTAAAAGAAGACACAATAAGAAAACCTATTTGCCCTTTTGGTTTGGCATAAAAATCAAATTGATAAGCATGCAAATTTATGGCGATTAACCTGATCACGTGGTCATTAGATTGTTATAGAAAATTATTAGATGTACAATTTTAAGGAATCTCTCAATATATTTTCCTATAAATTGTTTTATATAATATATATAAAAAACGAATTATTAGAATACAAATAGTAAATTTTATTATTCGTTTTTTTGAACAGTACAAGTGTACACCCTATATATTTGTTACAGCTACGTTTGGACTTTATTATTGTTAAAAATATTTAACATTTATGACGTTTATAATTTATCTTTTAAAAATCTTATATTTCGAGCTCCTTTCATTTTTTTACATCCAATATATAAAATTTATATTTTAAAAATCTGAGCCTAAAACAGTCTTAAAAATGTTATTTAAGATTCATAAAGCAAATTATGTTTGTTTTATCAATTCAATCTCTCCTGATGATTGAGGGGAGGAGGACCTTAAACCTGGATCGGGCTTAAAATGCTTATCTCTGTATGTCTTTTCTATATTTAACCATATTTAAAATTGTATAATAAAATTATACGTACACTAAAAAATAATATTTAACAAGATAACTTCCTCTGTATTAAGTATTTTTATTCTCATAATAAAACTAAATATTTTTTTTTCATTTTAATTATTACTTAAACATTTTAATATATTGATATTAAAATAAACATATCTGGTAAGTTTTATTGATATACCGGAAATACATCGACAGTGAAAAAAATTTTTAAAATATTTCTCTATTTTCTTAAAGATAATTTTATGGACATAAAATGATATAAAATTTATAGATTTAGGCGAAATATTTATCTAATAATATGAGATTATATTGCATCCTTATTGGACTTTGAATGCCTATAACTCCGGATACATATGTATGCTAGAACTTTTAAATAAGCTGTCGTCTATATATGACCATCATAAGAAGCTTCACACGTTTTTAAGTAATTTTTCGTTTTTAGTCGATTTATCATAAAATGACCGCAAGAACATAATAAAATCGTTTTTTTAAAAATAATTCCTCTCCACTTTGCTTTCCCGTCATATTTAAGTATTCCACCACTGCCCGCCGGATCGACGACGTATTCCGCAGTACCGCTATCTGATCCATCCACGCAATTACCTACTATCCCATTTAGCGGTACCCGCAATAACCTGGTTTTAGATGTGGCTAATGCCCCTTTTCAAAGGTAACCTTATTATTTATTAATGCCACCATATTTTATGTAATAGTGTCGCTTGAGGATTAGTGTGTCTTATCTGACATTTTCTAAAATTTAGAGCTCACTGTTATAATTTAAAAAAAAATTGATTGCTATTTACTTTTACTCTTAACAATGTAAATAGATAGCCCTCAGAGCTCAAACATTAACCCATTAATGGTCAAGATTTTTCTAGTGGATAAAAAGGCTCAATTTTTTCAAATTATATTTGATTAATGCTCAAATATGATATTCTAAAAAAAATCAGCCGAAAAAAATAATCCTAAATAGAAAATCTAGCCTGGTGCATATCTGCACCGATAACCATTAAGAGGTTAACCGTGAATACCTATTTAAAAATTAATTGTTAGAAAGAGCACTCCAAAACTCAACCCATGATGTGTTTAAAAATAATACTAAAACTATTTCATAATATTTTTTATTTATTTACATTTTTTTAGCCATTAATTAATCTCATAAATCTTCAGATACAGGTACTACATCTATCCCTCACAAACTTCCCAGACCATCCAAACCCGCCCAAATTCTAATTACCCCTATATCGTCAGTGGGAGGCCTCCACCGCTACCAATGCCACACACTCCAATTCCGCCATTGCCCAACCGCTTGAACTCTGATAACCCTTATATCGTCAGTCAGAGGCCTCTAGGGCCATTACCGCCTGCAAGACCACCACCGCCTCCATTGCAAATCCCTTCTCCAAGAGCCCAGCAATACAGCATAAACGGTCACGATCCTGTTACAATTAATAATACTCAAGCGAATTTAGATAAGGATAGTGCCGAAAATGTTTTGAAGGGCAAATTGGTCACCGGGCCACTCGAAGATGGCGCTGGTTTAAGTTCCGCTTCTGCTAATAATGCAACAACTAACCCTCCAAATATTCAGTCACCTGGGTCTAGTTATTCTATGCGCGATATCAACCACACGATATCGCCCGGGATTTCTCGCCCCTCGGTGTCCTCTAGAACTGGTTCTAATCATCATCGAAATCATCCAAGTAATTCTGATAGAGATACAAATAAGGTTAATGTAGTCGGTGTCATTGGCGAAAAACCAGACAACGATGCCCAAAATAGGGAAAAGCGATCCAAATTAATGGACATTGATTATGATTGATTTTCGTTTTTTGATATAAAAGAGAAAAATTTTGAATTTTTTTAAATCCCGATTTTATTATTATTTTTTAAAATTATTCTTATTTAACCGTTCTAGACAACTCAATATATTTTGAAAAATATTGGAAAGAAGAATTTTTTTTATATTTATCTTTAAAATATTTGTGAGAATTGATTCAAAGAAGTCTGAAAAGCTTTGAATTAATTTACTTTATACGCAGTTTTTCTTCCTCAAATACAATATCTTAATTCTTTCTCCTCATTTATTTTATAAGTTATTTTTAATTTTTATATAGTGATATGTATCATTTGCTAATTTTAAACAATTTTTTTTTATTCTATAAAATTGCCCTTTTAAAATTTATTTTTTATTTAAAAAAATTTTTAAATATAATTTATTATTTTTTTTTAAAAAAAAAACATAAATTATTATAGACTGGTTTTCGTCGCATTGGCCATTTGGTTAAAATATCTTAAATATATCAAAACACGAAAAAAAACGCGAAATTAAATCTCTTATAATAACCTGAATCGCTTCCTTTACTTGATTATTACATATTTTTCTCTAATTTGAAATTTTTACTTTTGCCTTATTACAGATTTTGTACCTAAATCACATTGCACACTGTTCAGTGATTCCTTGCAATATAACATAATATGTAAATTATATATATTTCATGTATGAAAATGCAATTATGGTAACTTATTTTACTCCAAACCTTTAAAAAAAAGATACTAATA